GATTGAAAATGTTAGATTATGTCATCCCTTTAACGTTGAATCAAATCCTATTTAATGTTGCTTGTATCAGAACTAATGAAGGGCTACAAGGCTGCTGAATTAAATAGGGAGGGACCATCCAAGAGTGATAACTCAACTTGGCAACAATGTCAAGCAATAGCTGACTTGAAATTTACTTATGTCGTGTCATGCCAACAATATGGCAAGCACAAACGTGCAGGTCATCCTCTTGCCAAAGACATTTTGAGGCTCATGACAACGTAGGTTTCCCAATTTTTCTTTGCCTATTTTTCTGACACTATCCTTTTGACTTTTGGCATTTGTGAGGAACTGGTTGTATCATTTCATTGTTTTCCTGGAGGCAGATATCCATCACTTCGCGTGGCTTATATTGATGAAGTTGAAGAAACTGGAAAAGATAAATCCAAAAAGATGGTTGAGAAGGTTTATTATTCAACTCTCGTGAAAGTTGCTCCTCCAACCAAACCTATTGATTCTTCCGAGCCAGTTCAAAATTTAGACCAGGTACCAGTCTTAGTGTGTTTTACAGCTTGTTCAGATTTTATAATATTCAGAAATCTAATTTAATTTAATTGTTCGAGAAAGCTACTGCTGGCTTTATTCTTAAATGAAATAACTCATGAAATGCTTGATAGACATTTGATTTACTGTCACTATTATCTATTGATTAAGTATTCACTGTATGCTAAACTCTATGATCAAGGAAGAAAACGGAAAAATGTTTGATGCAGTGTCAGTGAGGCAAGTAATGTTTTCCAATCCGTGTACTTTTCTTTGCAATTGATTTATTGAACATGATTGTCTAATAAAACATAATAAGGGGAAAGGATTACTACATCCTCATAACTCCTGTCTTATTCTATTCATCAAGTATTATTGTGAACTTTAATCGGTTGAAGTCATTTAAGATGCTTCTGTTTTCAGAAGGTTTGAACTAAAAGTTAATTGAAAAAGACTATTAATACATGGGGATTTTTACGATTTCTTCTCCCAGCCCCACCCCCACCCCCACCCCCAAACACTTGAAGAATAAACCTACTATGACATGCATTTTGAGTGTCATCGATGAGAAAACTCATATAACTGGTGTGTGTGTCCATGAACATTTTTGGTGTGGAGTGTGAGAATCGTGCGATTCTTCTTTACTTAACTGAAGGCATTTTATTATTAATAGCATGATTCCTGCAATTACTCTGTTGAATTTCATTCTGCAGGTAATTTATCGGATAAAACTTCCAGGGCCTGCAATGTTAGGTGAGGGAAAGCCAGAAAATCAGAACCATGCCATTATTTTCACTCGTGGGGAAGCCTTGCAAACAATAGACATGAACCAGGTACTCCATTCAGTGAAAAAGCAAATAGATTATGGAAAAGTCAATCTGTAGAGAAACTCAATTGATACGTATCCATGCCATAGGATAACTACATGGAAGAAGCCTTCAAAGTGAGGAACTTGCTTCAAGAATTTCTTAAAAAGCATGACGGTGTGAGATATCCAACAATTCTCGGGCTTAGGGAGCACATATTCACTGGCAGGTACTGTGCTGTTTTTTCTTGGAAAATGACTATAGTAGCTGTGCTGCTGCAATATTAAGATTCAATTTCTGTATTCACTAAAGGTTTTGGTTGATCTGTGCAGTGTTTCATCTCTAGCATGGTTTATGTCAAATCAGGAGACTAGTTTTGTGACTATTGGTCAGAGATTGTTGGCTAGCCCTTTGAAGTAAGATTCCAGCTTCAATTCAGAAAATCTCATGTTTATGGTTTATATACTAATTAAATTAATGGACAATATCATGTCAATGCAGCAAAAGAACTTTATCTGTGTATTGACCACTGTATGGTTTGCAGTTTGTAGGAAGTACCTGAAACACCCTATTATTAACTCCCAAACACATATATTGCTAGAGCTATAATAGGTTATTATTATTATTATTATTATTTTTGGTGGGGGATTGGGTTGGATATGGTGTAGTCTTTGTGCTTCGTTAACACAGCGTTGATTGGGCTGTGGAGAAGCCTCTAAATTTTCTGGCTGGCAGATATCTGCTGCTAGCATGTTTTTATATATGTGCCACATTTTTAATTTCATCTGTAAAAGAGAGGGCAATAGCATTCTCGTGTTACATTCTCTCTCTTTTCATTACTTTATGTGCATAACTATTAATCTTGTATGTATGACTTTTGCTGTCTGTTTTGTTTCTTACCTTTATAATTAATGATATCTGCTCCTCATCCAGAGTACGGTTCCATTATGGTCACCCGGATGTTTTTGATAGACTATTTCACTTGACAAGAGGGGGTGTCAGCAAAGCTTCTAAAGTCATCAATTTAAGCGAGGACATATTTGCAGGCATTGTGATATTTTATGTACTTTACACTGATGAGTATATGTTTTTTTTGGCTTTGCAACCCATTATTTTCTTTTTTCAATTGTCATCAGGTTTCAATTCTACATTACGTGAAGGCAATGTTACTCATCATGAATATATCCAAGTTGGTAAAGGGAGGGATGTGGGCCTAAACCAGATATCCATGTTTGAGGCAAAGATAGCCAATGGGAATGGTGAGCAGACATTGAGTCGCGACATATATAGGCTTGGACATCGATTTGATTTTTTCCGAATGTTGTCATGCTACTTCACCACAATTGGTTTCTATTTCAGTACTATGGTATGTCTGAAATGCACATTCTTTCTCACTTGGTATTTGCATTTCCATTCTCTATACTAATTCACAAGTCCCTGATTCTTCTTTGGCAGCTAACTGTACTCACTGTCTATGTGTTTCTATATGGCCGCCTATATCTCGTTCTCAGTGGACTTGAAAAAGGCTTAAGTACTCAGCGAGCTATTAGAGACAACAAGGCTCTTCAAGTAGCTCTTGCTTCTCAGTCTTTTGTGCAAATTGGATTTTTGATGGCTTTGCCTATGATGATGGAAATTGGTCTGGAGAAAGGATTTCGTAATGCGTTAAGTGATTTCATATTGATGCAGTTACAATTGGCCCCTGTATTTTTCACATTTTCTCTTGGAACAAAGACTCACTATTATGGAAGGACATTGCTGCATGGAGGTTCAGCATACAGAGCTACTGGCCGTGGCTTTGTAGTGTTCCATGCTAAGTTTGCTGATAACTACAGGTTGTATTCTCGCAGCCATTTCGTCAAAGGGATTGAATTGATGATTCTGCTTCTTGTATTCCATATATTTGGGCGTTCATACAGAGGTGTAGTTGCGTATGTTTTAATCACTATATCAATGTGGTTCATGGTGGGGACATGGCTTTTTGCTCCTTTCCTTTTCAATCCATCAGGGTTTGAGTGGCAAAAGATTCTTGATGACTATACAGATTGGAATAAGTGGATAAATAACCGTGGAGGGATTGGTGTTCATCCAGAAAAAAGTTGGGAATCCTGGTGGGAAAAGGAGCAAGAGCATCTCCGCTATTCTGGGAAGCGAGGCATCATTGTGGAGATACTGTTGTCACTGCGCTTTTTCATCTTTCAGTATGGCCTTGTGTACCATCTCAGTATTGTTGACAAGACCAAAAGTTTTCTGGTATACTGTTTATTATCATTTTTCTTCTTCTTGTCTCTGTGTGTTCGATATAATTATGATGTTTAAGAAGAAAGAACTAAAATTTCCTCTGGGTTACAGGTTTATGGTGTTTCATGGATTGTGATCATTCTAGTGTTGTTTTTAATGAAGGTTAGTTACAAAGATCTTCAGCCTACTATTATACATCTCAGAATAGCTTTTTTTTTTAATTATTATTATTATGTCCTTTTTCTCACTTGGATCGTTTTCCTATGGTACCTCTCTGCGCAAATTCTCTGCCTTGAATATCTGCAGTGTTAGAACCAAATATCCTGATGCTAATCTTAATTTGCACGTCATAAGTTGTACAGTTGATTGTAAAGTTGGCTTGCTGGACGTTAGTTATTCAAAGATCTTTTTTTGCTATTCACTGCACCCCAATTTTACTGGCTCTGTTTAGGGCTTCACATTTAACTATAAAATTTAGCAAATTAAATAAAATTTGCACCCCAATTTTACTGGCTCTGTTTTGGGCTTCGCATTTAACTATAAAATTTAGCAAATTAAATTCCCGGAGCTGGCTAGTACTGATAATTCTGTTGAATTATTTTACAGGCTGTAGCTGTAGGAAGAAGACAGCTCAGTGCAAACTTCCAACTCTTGTTTCGGCTCATTAAGGGTCTCATATTCATAACTTTTATTTCCGTATTCATCACCTTGATAGCACTCCCTCACATGACAATACGGGATATCATAGTCTGCATTCTTGCATTCTTGCCTTCTGGATGGGGACTGCTGCTGGTTAGTAAATCATGGTGCCTTGTAAGAAATCGCTTTAGTTGGATACTATTCTGGAAAAGATACTTATTTTCACAGCATTTTTTGGTCGATCATTTTATTACAGATTGCACAGGCCTGCAAGCCACTTATACAGCACGCTGGCTTTTGGGGATCGGTCCGGACACTTGCTCGTGGTTATGAAATAGTCATGGGTTTGCTTCTATTCACACCCGTTGCATTCTTGGCTTGGTTCCCATTTGTTTCCGAGTTCCAAACTCGAATGCTGTTCAACCAAGCTTTCAGTCGAGGTCTTCAGATCTCCCGTATTCTTGGTGGGCCGAGAAAAGACCGCACTTCTAGAAACAAGGAGTAATGCATCTATAAGATCTCATCAGTGGACGTGTATATACATCTCTATACTATACATCTCCATACTACTTGCACGATCACATCTAAGAGAAAATATGCTACATTTCAAACAGGTCTTGTCTAGAATTTCTACTGTAGATCAGAAATGGTTGTTAAATATTAATACGCAGTATGTATCAGTGTGGCTAGATACCAAGACAGTACAGAATATGCCTATAGTGTTTTGTGTCTTGTTCCTAGGGTCTTTTGGAGCTGATAGAGCTTTCATGAGTTGTAAAAGTCTTATATTTGTTCTGTCAAAAGTTGTAAATCCTACCACGAGGATTATTGAAACATAATGTGAATTGCATTTGTTAAATTTCGTTACCAAATCTACTCTTCAACTATTTCATTGCAATGGGCAACATGGGTTGAGGGACAGATGGCACATATGAGGTCCACTGCTCTAGATTAGGGCTGGCGTGGAGGTCCTGGAGGATGAAAGGGGTATTGATGCATTCGTCATGGAAGTCGTACCTGGTAGTAGTATAGTTTAAACTGGCTTCTGCTGGCATCGGGATGGATATTTTTATTTTACATGGTTTTTGTGAACTCTTTGGATCATAAGCCACAAAATGTAAATCATTCATCCGAAGCCAGAAAATAAGGAAAAAAACAATCAAATAAATATCAAGCCAAATATGTAAAGGGTTAAAAAAGATAAACACAGAACAATCCAAGCACATCAATAAAAATGCTGAGGCAGCAGCAGCTTCTAGTTTTCAAGCATGATCTAGAGCTTCCTGTTGGCTTCTCTTCGACACTCAGCCGGAGTTGTACAATGGAGGTCAGTACCATAATCGCAATCTAGACAGTAGTAGACCCAGCTGGTCTGAGAAACTTCTTTCCTGCAGGCATCACAGGTAAAGACTAGGCCCTCCCTGTCCAGAAAATTAGTGGAATACAAAAGAGTAAGTGGGTGATCGTGGTCTACATGCTTCATGGTTTTGGGCAAGAAAGCACACCCAACATGGAGGTTGAATTGGCAAGTAGTGCAATGATAAGCAAAAGAAGTACCATAATCACCACAAGCATTACAAGTGAAATAGGAATCATCACCAGGAGGGGAAGAAAGAAGGACAAGTAAATGTTGAGGGTGAGAGGTGTGTTCGAGTTCTCGCGGCAATTCAAAGCAGGACCTGTGAAGGAAGAAATCGCACATGGACTTTGTGCACTTGTAAGCAGAACCTGAAAGGTCTAGCTCACAACCTGAACAAATAATTTCCTCATCTTCTTTCACATCAACCGGACGTAATGGATGGGAATGGCTGAAGTGCTTCACACATGGACGCAGAGAATTCTTGCGACTGATCAATGGTTTTGCTGCCATTATATCTCCTGTTTTCTGAAGGTTACCTTCTGATGATCCATCATTCACAAACCTATGTATATATGGTAGTTGGAGGAGAGTAGGCAAGTTACTTCTTTCTCGGTTTACTTAGTTGATCTCTAGGCAAACATTTAAGATCCCTTTAATGGATGCACCTTTTTTTAATTTCCAAGTCTTCTTTTTTCCTTTTCCTTTTAGGCCTGCCACCACTTTAAGCCAAGCAATTTGAGGCTCAAACATTAGTTTATAATAATTTGTAAGTTCTTAGCTGGCTTTCATTTTTCTTTGAGTTGACTCCCCTGAAACTGAGCTTGCACCTTTTCAGTAGACACGTTCCTTCAAGAATATCTGACCAAAACTTAATGCATGCAAGGTCATGAAATCTTGGAATACTGCCATTATTTCAAAAGAAAAATGTATTGATCTGCAATCCAGCTTTTTTGCTTGTAAAGGAAATAAGATTGATGCAATCCCATCTCTCTCTCTCTCTCTTTATATCAGAACAAGTAGAATGTATTAAAAAAAATGTTTGCCCGCTCAACATAATTAATTGTGTAGACCTGTTTCCAATAAATTAATTAAATTGGGGTGATTGAACTTTATCACCCTCTCTCAAGTGAAATTTGCATAAATACATTCTATATCGTGCTGAAAATTCTAATTTAGTTAAAAGAATTGAGATGGCAAATTATCACTTGATAAATATTCTCCAAGTATTAAATTAAAGAACTATTTTAATTTAAAAATCTATTAAGTGATTTTTAAACTGATTCAACTCTCTAGCAACATCAATATATCACCTTTTCACCTAGTATTGAATATCAAGAAATTTATATGGCGCCAACAAAGCAAAAAGAAAAGGAGAAAGAGAAAAGAGAGAAATGATTGACAAATGAAAGAATAAAGAGAGCGTAATCGATCAGAAATGAATTTAATTCCTATGCATCACCGGCCAAGAAAGGAATCAAAACACTTAGGCTTAGGCAAAGAAAATATAAAGAATTTAACTTAGACTCTCTAAGTAGAGGAAAGTACCAAATATTATTCTTCAAGTGGATATGCATATGTTTCCTTCAAAGTTTCTCTTGGTATTTAAACTATATCGTTATGCTATAAGTTGGTTAATTTTTTTTTAATATAAAAAATATTAAATATTTTTTATAAAATAAATTGTGGGGCTTGATCCTATTAACGTGATGAACTCTAACACAATCCAAATGATTATTAAAAACTTAGTTTGAATAAAAAATTCAAAATAATATATATATTTTTTAATATTGAAACAATAAAGTATTGGATCAATCTAGGTCACCCGTAATAACTTGTTAAATTTATGACTTGAATTATGAGACCATGATAATTTCATATTAAAAAAACTAAAACAAATTATAAAGTTCAATTTGTAATTATCTAAATGTTGAAGGATGTAATTGAAAAAAATAAATAATACGAGTCAATCTGCCAAATTCTACAACTTGGATCACAAGATCAGGATAACGCAATAAAAAATAAATCAAAATAAACTATGAAGTCTAATTTTTAATTAATCCAATGTTGAAGGTTGAAATTGATAATTTTTTTTTTTAAAATGACTCGATTCGACCTGGGTTAACAAACCAAATGAACCGAGTTATAAGACCGGAATAACCTCATAGAAAATAAATAAATAAATAAATAAATAACTTACTCCAATCTTGGTTAACTTATCAAACCTACAACCCAGATTATGAGATTAAGATAAACCTATATAAAATAAATCAAAAGACATTATAAAACCCAATTCCAAATAAACTTGTTTTTGAATAATAAAATTTTAAAATAATCATGTAGAAAAAAACACAATAAAAGAGCTAAATCTAACTAGGTTATAGATCTACCCAGTTAACTTGCAAAATTTGTGACTCGAGTCATAAAATCGGAATAACTTCTTAGAAATCAAACTAAAACTAGAAAACAAACTAAAATAAATCATAAAAATCAATTCCTAATCAACTTAATGCTGAAGAATGAAGTTGAAAAAGAAAACCAATAAAGAAAAAAAAACTCGAGTCAATGAAGCTAATCCATTAAGTTTATAATAAGGATTATAAAAATGAAATAACCATATAGAAGGCAAACCACAACGAATCATAAAGACTGATATTTAATAAATCAAATGTTGAATGATAATTTTTTTAAAAAACACATAGATTAAAAAAATACTATTATAATGAATAATATTTTGTGAGACAACACATAGTAAAAGCACCACACTGGTTTTAATCTTTTGTTAATTAGCTATTTGAGTCCTGTTTCACTACAAGTCATATATTTTTTCAGCAAAAAAAATAAATATACATTCTTTTTCATTATCTTTTTATATAAAAAGTTCTCAATTATAAACTGAAATGCTTATACATGTATATATTTAATTAAATAAATTAATATGTAATAAAAATATAATTAAGATTAAGATATTTGATCCGCAATATGATTACTTTATACTTAGTTATGTTTAGTAACTTTGTTTTTTTAAAATAAATTTTTTATTTAATTAAATAAAAAATTATTAATAAAAACAAATTAAATAAAACTATAAAATCAACTATTAAATAATAAAATAAAAAACCTAGCTGAACCCGCTAAATGCATGGATGACAGTGAGCACAAGATTGCCATAGCGCCATCGAAAGTCTAATACTGCATTCCTTCACTATCTAAAAGTGTATCAAGTCAGCGTTGGTTGTGCGTATGTGTATCAAAGAAGAAAGGATTACTCTTTTCGTGTTCCTGATCTTAGAGTTTGTTCGAAGACTCTGTTGCTGTCTTGATGATGCTCTGCATGTCTACTGGCTGGGATGGCTGCCTCATACTCCGTTTAGGATTTGAATTTTTCATAAGGAGGTGTGTTTCTTAATTTTGTGGTGGTAAAGCTTCAAGCATCGCAGCAAGCATGCTGCCTCTTGTAAACACGTATATTGATTTATCCTTGCTTTGAAAAGCTTTGTTGTCTTTCTTTGTTTCACTTCTCTGATCATGTTCGACGAATCATCTCCTATGCTCAAGTATAAATTGATGCTACGTTAATGTCAAGGTGTTGGTTGGTACTTCAAATGAGTTTCAGAAGGGCACAGGGTCAGCATGCTCATGCACCTTGTTGATCATTTTTTTTTCCACTTCTGCAAAATTGCATGTTGAACACACACCACTATAACTGTATTTGACATGAATCTGATCCTCCACCGTTCCTCTTCTTTCCCGTTGAGTCTCCGTAAACACACGACAGTTTTCTCAAGGGAAGGGAAAATTGAAGCAGTTTAGTGGCTGAGAGAGGTGGAGGTGGATCCAGATCCCAGCTAAGGCAATAAGGAAAGCTCGTGTTCACAGAGAGATGAATTCTGATGCATGCCGGATTCTTTTCCAGTAGTTCTTTGCTTGCATGTTCTGAATAGTCAGGTTGGAAATATGGTATTGTGAACTTGTAAATGTTGACTGAATTCTGTTGATTTGATCTCTTATTGCTTTTCATTAATAAATAAATAATAACAGAAGGAAGAAGACATTGCCATATGTGAGTGCAAGTTTGATGGCATTGATCTTTTTTTTTTTCCTTCTTGTTATAAGAAATGTTTATAGAGAAGAAAGAGAGAGTAAGAATGTTTGTATATTTTTTTATTACAAAAAATTGAATGCTTATACACATGACACATATCATGTCAAAAACTTAGATAGTACACTTTAGAATACAAGGATTCATCCTCCATCATACATGATCATTAGGGGCTACAATTCGTACATTTAAACTAGAAATAGTTATTATAATATTATTAAAAACAAAATAAAAAAATAATAATTATAAGAACATTCTCAAAATAGAACAGAGCAGCTAATGATTATTTTCTACAAAAAAAGTTCTTCATTTCTTCATTCTTCTCAACACTAATCTACAACATTAACATTTATAGTTTATATTGAGCTTAATAAGTTGCTTAATTTTCAATAACCTCTTTTAAGCTATTTATCGGCTTAACTTTAAGTTTTAACCTTAGTTGTTTAAATATGTTTTTAGGCAATGCTTTAATAAAATATATCTGAATTGTTCTTCACTTCTGCAAAATTGCATGTTGAACACACCTTCTTGCAGATCTTCCCTTATGAAATGATATCTTCTGTTTCTGTGTCTAGTTCTTTGATGAAAAACTGGATTCTTAGCCATTGAAATTATTGACATATTATCACAAAACAAAGGTGTTGCCTTAGTTTGCATTTTACCAAAATCTTCAAGAACAAATAACTTGTGTTGTAGCCTTAGATGTTAAGACATACTTAGCTTCTGTTATTGATAATGCTACCATGTTTTGTTTCATATAGACCTAAGAGAATGCTCTATTTCTAAAATTGAATGCATAGCCAGAAATGCTCCTGCTATCATCCTCATTACCTGCCCAATCTGCATCACAGAATCCAATAAGAGTTACTGACTGATTTCTCACGTATTCAATGTTATAGCTAAGAGTCCCTTGCATATATCTTAAAACCCTTCTTGCAACTCCCATATGCATTTTTATATGATTTTTCATAAATCTTGATAGCAAGCTAGCAACATACATTAGATCAGGTCTAGTTACAGTTAAATATAATAGGCTTATTTTCCTATAAAGCCCTTCATAAGCTAACTCACTCTTATCCACCTTTTTGAGTTTCTCACTAGTAGGCAAAGGAATTGAGACTAGTCTGTAATCTTCAAGCCCGAACTTCATAAGCAAGGCAAAGGAATTGAGACTAGTCTGTAATCTTCAAGCCCGAACTTCATAAGCAAGTATTTGGCATACTTGCTTTGATGAATAAATACTCCTTGATTAGTTTGCAGTATTCTCATGCCTAAAAAATAACAATGAAGTCCAAGATCCAACATCTCATATATCTGCATCATTTCTCTTTTAAACTCAGTAAGCATCCTCTCACTGCTACTAGTATAAACAATGTCATTAACATAGATTGAGACAATAATCAAATCTTTTTCATTATCAAACCTTGTATACAAAATGGCTTCATTTGTGCTTATCGTGAACTTGCACATGAAGAGATATGCATCAATTTCACTATACCAGGCTCTAGGAGCTTGTTTAAGTCCATATAAGGCTTTTCTTAACTTGTAGACCTTATGGCCTGTATTTTTTACCTCAAAACCTTCAAGTTGTTCAACATACACTTCTTCATCAAGCATGCTATTTAGAAATGTTGACTTAACATCCAACTAAAATCATTTCCAACCCAATAGAGGTGGTGAACGTACCTCACATGAATTTCAAGATTTTTATACAAATATGGGAATGAAGAGGTAACTAACCATTGTTTACTCTCCTTAATAAAATGGAGTTATTGAAAGAAGAAACAGAATAATCTATGAGATGGAAAGATCGATGATGACAGAGAAAAGATGCTAGTGACTTTTTAGGAAAAAGCTGTAAGTACAGCTGTGTATCTCTAAAATAGATGTTTTACAACAGCTGTGTCAAGCAAAACACCATTTGAAGCATTCACAGTTAGAAAGCCAGGAATCAAGCATTTAAAAGTATTCGGTTGCATTTATTACACTCATATCTCATCATCCTTGAGGTATAAATTTAATGACAAGGCTAGGAAGGAAGTTTTTATGGGATATGAAAGCTATGAAAATGGTTATAGGGTGTATGATTTGTAATTTGAGAAAATTATGCTCTCAAGAAATGTGATTTTCAGTAAAGACAAATCTTGGAATTAGAAAAGAAATCAGGTGGAATCTGTCTCAATACTTCTTAACTTTAAAGGAAATGAAGTAGAAGGTGAAGACAATGAAGAACAACTTGATGCAACTCAGCTTGATAATGTTGGAAGTTCTCATCTAAACTCCACAGTTGGTGAGTTAGTTGAGAATGTTAGTGGTAATAATAGTCAAAATTCCACACCTAGTTCTACTCCAGTAAAATTAAAGACCCTAGAAGATATATATGCAAGGTGTCACATGTACATCACAAAACCGGAGAATTATCAAAAAGTAGTTGGTGATATAGCTTGGCAAGAAGCTATGAATGCAAAGTTGGAGATGATGGAGAAGAATAATACTTGGGAATTGGTTGAGAAACCTGTTATAGGTGTGAAATGGGTGTTTAAGACCAAGCTTAAACTGGATATAATAGCTCAAAAACACAAGGCCAGATTTGTAGCCAAAGGATATGCACAGAAACCTGGGATTGACTACAATAAAACATTTGCACCAATAGTAATGTTAGATACAATTCCAACTCTTATTGCGCTACCTTAACTTTTTCAAACTAAATCCACTTTGCAATTCAACAAAAACTTTGTATTTCTTGAACATATTAAAAATATCAGATTTATTTCTAAAGAAGTATACCCAATTCATTTTTGAGAAGCCATCAATGAATGTGATAAAGTACTTGTTTCCTCCAATTGACTCATTTTGCATTGGTCTACACAAGTCTGTGTGCATTAATTCTAGTGGACAGCTTGCTCTTCATGCTTCCTCTTTATCAAATTTCTCTATATGATGTTTTCCTGAAACACAGTCTTCACATACATCCTTCAGTTCTGTTAACACAAGTAGTCCATTTTCATTTGCTGTATCTTTTTCATGCTAGCAAAATTCAAATATCCAAGTCTTCTATGCTAGATCCAGGAGTCTTCAATCACCGATGTTTTTTTTAGTACAGGTGTCATAAATTCTAGTGAAAAAGGAAAATATCGATTTCCTCCCATAACCATTATTGCTACAACATTATTAAGACTTTCATCATCAAATATCACAACTTTGTTATCTCTAAATAGGATATAATAACCATGCTCTATCATTTAGCCTATACTTAATAGATTCTCATCCAAGTCGGGAACCAACAACACTTCATTTATGTATCTTTTCTCATGTTGAGTTTCAACCACTAGAATGCCTTTTTCAATCGCTTGTACAAGATCTCTAGAGCCCATTTTAACTTACAAGTTACGGTTTTATCAATGTTGATTAACCTAGACTCTTAAGATGTCATGTGGTTGCTGCAAGTGCTATCCAGAAACCATACACTTTTATCTTGCACACTTGAAGAGTGATAAGCATATAACATAGTTCATGTGGTTACTTCTTCTTTCTTTGTTTAATTGGCTAGTTATCTGTAACTATGTCAATCACAATTCTTTGTAAGATGACCAAACCGATTGTATTTTCCACATTTAGGTTTTCTTTTGTGTCTGCATACATCAAAATGATACTTTTGACATACTTGACACTGTGGTTTCATACTTTATTGACTGTTATTTCCTTGTTTGTTCTGTGAATTAAAGCTATTGTTCCATCCAACACTATTATTTTAGTTTGAGCCATTATTGTTGTTCAAGTTTCCACTTTGAGACCAATTTGATCCCCTCTTATCTTGTCCCTACTATTTTTTATTTGGTCTATCTTGTGAGCCCTTATGAGTCTATAAACTTGGTTATTTCCAACTTTGAGGCTACTAAAAGCTCTTTCAATTCCAGTGAATTTATCTCTTTCATCGTACAAGTCCTCTATCCTATCATAAACTTTGATAGATGCAATGACCTTTTCAACTCTAAGAACATCAATATCTCAAGTTTCTTCAATGATAAACATAATGGACTTGTATCTTCTACTTAGACTCATCAAAAGTTTTTGCACAATTCTTGTTTTAGACACATCTTCACTAAGTGATTTTAGATTATTCATAGTTTCAAAAAAATTAATCAAATATCTATCTAAGCTTTCACCATCTAACATTCTCATATACTCAAAATCTGCTCTGATTGCTTAAAGTTTTTAGTTATTATCTTTTTATCTCCTCTGAACTCTCTCCTCAAGACATCTCAAGTTCGTTTTGTAATCTTTTCATTTCTAATACGAGAGAAGAGCTCATCAGTTAATGCTTCTGAATGAGACTAGTTCCTTGGTATTTTTTATTTTGTTTTCTCTAGAAATAGTAGGTGCTTTCCCTGGAATTTGCTTAGCTTTACTTCCTTCATTTCTAGAGCCTTCTTCCATCTCACGAATCGGTTGACGTTGTACACAGACCTCTATTACATCCCATAGATCATATGCTATGAAGATAGTCTTCATTTTGACAGCTCAAAAATCATACTATGTACCATTAAACTGTGGAGTTCGTAAATCTCCCCCTACAAAATCTAATCCCATCATTTTATAAGTGAGTCTCTATGAACAAAATCTATGACCGAACAACCTTTATCCTTATTTAGAATTTTTTAAGAAACCTTCTCTCACAGTTTACACCCCTTTTTTGAAATTAGATTTAGAGCTCTGATATCATGTTGTTTTTTTTGTTGTAAGAAATGTTTGTAAAGAAGAATTCAGAGAGAATGAGAATGTTAGTATATTTTTCTATTACAAAAAATCAAATCAGAGCATGCTTATATACATGACATATACTGCCAAAAACTTAAATCCTACACCTTAGGATACAAGAACTCATCTCTCACCATATATGATAATTGGAGGCTACGATTCTTACATTTAGGCTAGAAATGGTTATCACAGTACTATAAAAAACAAAACAGAAAAAAGACAGCTGTGAGAACATTCTCAAAACAGAACGGAGTAGCTAATGGCTATTTTCTAAAAAGAAAGTTCTTCATTTCTTCATTCTTCTCAACCCTAATCTACAAGAATGTCATCTATAGTTTGTTTTGAGCTCAGAAAGTAGCTTAATTCTCAACATGATATTGGCAGTGCATTTTGATACGGGCTTTGCCTATTTGAGAGTGTGGTTGTAATTATGGTTTAAAATGCTTTTTACTTATAAATATATTAAAATATTTTTTTATTTTTAAAAAATTATTTTTGAGATCAGCACATCAAAACAATTTGAACACATTAAAAGAAATAATTTTTAACAAAAAAAATTGAATTTTTTAAAAACACGGGTTAGCTTGCTTTTCCAAACAAAGTAGGGTGTACAGAACCTGAAGTATATATTGCTCTTATGGCTTTTACCGAAAGAATTAGGTTACAACAGTATTTTCATATCTATATCCTTTCCAAAAACCTACAACATTATTGTATTCAAGTGCTTTTTAAGTGTACAGAACACGCATGCTTTAGAAGTTGTTTCTTTATTTGTGAATGGAGTGCAGAACAAGGAAACAATTTCTTATGAAATCCAAACACGTATAATCTTGATTCTTATATTAGAACAAAGAACAAGTCACTTAATTTCTAGCTAGAAAATAAGAATCTCTAGCTACTTCCAAATTATGTGGAATGAAAAAGAGAGATTTCTCTTTAAAAACAAGTAGCTCATGTCATCAAGTTCTTCTATTTTCATAGCTCTGTTCAAGGCTGCAAACGTAGTAGCTAACCTTTGCTCGCTAAAAGCTTGAATCGAATTCATTTGTTAAAATATAAAGAGGTTCTGTAATTTTAAAGAGGTTCTGTAAGTCTATTTCAAAACTTGTTGTATAAACAAGTTGAGTTTGAGCTTTGCTAAGCTGTAACGTCTACTTCAAAACTTGTATAAATAAGTTGAGTTTGAGCTTTGCTAAGCTGTAACTTATTAGATTCCATCAAATAACTCAACTAAGATTGTGAATTAGTGCAAGTTTAATTAAAAAGTTGTAAATAAAACTCATTTTATAATTTCTTTGAAAAAGATAAACAAATCATATAAGATTCCATGAACTCAAATATAAAATATAAAATATAAATAAGAAAAGAGTGTTTATATATATATATACACACACACACACACCTCTTTAATGATTTCCAAAATTTCAAGTCATTTCTAATTCCAACTAATAACTAAAATCTTCTTTATTTTTATCACACACACACACACACTAATAACTAAAATCTTCTTTATTTTTATATTTGAAAAAAATTATATTTTTTTATATTTTTATATTATTTTGATGGACTAATATTAAAAATAAATTTTAAAAAATTAAAAAATATATTTTTAATATATTTTTAAATAAAATACATTTTAAAAAATAATATATAAATAGTAATGTATTTTAGGTTCCATTCACATTTATGGGTCTAAATCCATCACTAAAAAACAAAAAACAAACTATAAAAGACCTCTGGGCCCAGATGAATATGGGTTAAAGAAAAGATATGGGAATTTGGGCCTGCTTCTAGACCAGATCTAAGTGGTAACTCTCTAGGAAATTTAATGGTATTCAAACTGTAATTATTAGATAATTATAACATAAAAAAGAGATAAACACAGTAACCAATCAAGATTAGAAGAGTCTCTTTTTTATATCTTACTCCAACACTATAAATCTTCATTAAAATTTAAACAAATAAACGAAGCGCACCGTTCCTTTTCAATTTCAATTTTCAAAAAAATGACGACAACTAAAAACACAGAGAAACCCTCCAATTTCCCCGCCACCATGACCACAACCACTCCTAGCTCAACCGCCGCCGCCGCCACAACCCGCCCCTTCGCCCCCACCACAACAACCCCACCGAGGCCCCAATCTCCATTCCAAATCCACCACCAACACATCTACCCAGTAATCAGACCTCAAACCCAAACCCCAAATCCAATAATACCTCCCAATCATCAAGGTGTTCTCTACCCAGTTGCCTCCTCCGGTCGTGGGTTCATTCCCAGACCTGTTCGCCCCCAACAAGATCAGACCCCAGCAAACCAAGGCGGGTACCACCCACGCGGAGCTGGGGTTGCTTACAGGCCCCATACTCCTACTACAGTCGTTGGGTCCCCGAGTTCACGATCTCATCCAAATGCTCAACAATTGGGGGATCTTCATCATCTTCATAATGTGCAGCAGCAGCATTTGATGATGAGCAGGCAGCACCCTACTCACTTGCAGCATCACAATTATGTTGGTCTTGGTCTCGGTGTCGGCTCTGTTGCTGCTCCTATTAAGGGAATTCCGGTCACCGGCCAACTCAAGGTTTATCTTTATATGTTTTTTTGGTAAAAAACGATATGGGTTTTCTCTTATTTGGATTTTTATGCTCACCGTTTGCAGAATTATTAAAGATTTAAGTTTAATCTGGGTCTCGAATTCGAATTGTTTGCACTGATGTGAACATGTAGGATTATTGTTGTTGATATAGAACGTGGGATTTCAAGAATTGGTTAATTTTGAATGGAAAGATTTTACCTTGTAAGCGTTGAGTCGAGATTTTGATGCAATTGAATGACTGGTATTTCTTTTTCTTTATGTTTCTTGCGTAACAGCAGTGTTGAGTGGTTTTATGCATAACTGCTGCATTTGTCTTGCTAGAAACTTATTGATTGTCAAAATTATTCTTGTATAGACCCAAAATTAAGCTTCCCCTGATGTTGTCCTTATTGATTGTATCGTGCATCTTTAGTTTATTACTTGTTTTATTTCTTTTAGGTTGCTGCATCTCCGGTTTCTGATTCAAATGGCTTTCAAAATTTGAGGTGATTCTTTTTGTGAAGTTAATGTTATTGGGTTATGCTTTATGTCATTTTGCCCTTCACAGCACATACGGGCAAGCAATAACATTTGAAGTTTTTTCTTGTGTTTGCAGGGATAGAAGCAGAGATGACAATCTTATGGTGGTTAGAGATCGAAAAGTAAGAAAACCTCATTTCTTTTCATGGAACTTGGAGCATTTGTTACAAATACTTTACTGTATGTGCAAATTCAGATAAATATTTTGCAAATATACATATATCGATTTGAGAGGTCACTCTTATCTCCGAATAGTCTTGTTGATTCTTAGCTGAGCATGATTTGCATGTTTGTTAAGCAAGTAACATCATGGTTCTTTTTACTTTTCGAAGTTCATAATGTTAGATTACCTAAAGCAATAGCCTTAAAATTGCTGCAATTTTTTAGATATTTAATGATTGTTGATTATTTATAGAACTCACCTGAGGGTTAGCTGATGCAGTCAGGTGATCTAAACTTGACTTTGGTTGCATGCTTAAGCAAGGGGCAAAAGGAGATATTCAATCCAAGCTGTATTTGGTAGAATAAAGGCTTAGACTGTTTGTTATGAGAGTTGGTTTTCAGGTTGTTTTTAGTTTCAGAAGAGGCTGCTTCTAGTTGACAATTATGTAATTTTTCTGATTGCTGGAAATGTTGGTACCAGTTGGTCCTTAAAGAAGGGACTTGTTTATCTTTCTTAGGCATCTGAATCGAAGTCCCATCTAGGATTAGTAATAAGTCAATCCTATATAAACTTGTAGTCTTTCAATCTCAGTACGGCAGATTTATTATGAAGGAAGTGCTGCCTTTTTGCTTGATGTATGGAGAGTGTGATCCTTTCATTAAGGAGTGATTAGTTAAACCCTAGGGATGAGGCTTAGGTTCGTATTCAAGGAATGATTCCTACTGGTTTGAGGCTAGTAGTTTATATTCTGTTTTTCTTTCACTTTCTGTTTCTTTTAGACCTGTCTAAAGCCCCAAAAGACCTTTTATAAACCTTAAACTCTAGTTTCTGCCAATTACAAACTGTCCCATAGAACTAGTCCTGCATCATCAGCTTCTGCAAGTTGAATTTGATGGCCGTAAGAACATGTAGAAGTATCATAGTTTAGCTGTAGTTTGTCTGCTTGTGTAAGGTTTTATATATTTGTGATACAAAATGGAGCAAAATAAGGATTTTCATCAAGACAAGTTATTGGTTTTTCTTGCTATAATGAGTTTGAGTTAGAGATGTAATTTTGCTTGACAGAGTTCCTTCTTTCAATGTAATTTTTTCTACCTCCCTTTGTTGTGTTAGAGATGTCCTAGGTACACAATGAATTCTTTAAGTTAATTGGTATGCTTAGACCTCCTACTGCTATACAAAATAGTAGGTGCTCCCTGCTCCTCAGACTAATAGAAAATTATATTAACTGATCATTATTATTTAATAAGACAGGGTAGTTTCCTTTATGGAATGTCTGTGGACATTCTGTAGATTAGTGCTGTGCTACTAAAGTTGAATCTTTGTAACGATATCATATTGCTGTTACTTACCGATGAGTTTTGTCTGTAGGTAAGAATATCTGATGGAGCTCCTCTTTATGCTCTTTGCCGATCATGGTTGAGAAATGGATTTCCTGAGGAAAGCGAGGTTTGCATTACACTTTTGTTGGGACTACCATTTTGCATGTGCTGAGAAAATGCCATATTTTGAAAGTATTCGTAGTTAATTAATCCCCAACGACTTTTCATATGCTGTTTTACTGCGAGTCAGTGACAAGAGAACCTCCTCTGCTCCTGTAGGTGTATCGTTTATTTTTGTGCCTTTAGGTGTCTCTTTTACTTTATGCCTGGTCTTCACCATGAAGAACAATACATAATATCCACTGTCGAATAAAATTACTAGTCATATATGTTAGAACCTCAAAATCAGTTTTATGTGGCATCAGCTATCACCACCTGGTTGCATGGAAACCATTTTGGTTGATATGAGTTTCTTTCTTAAGCATTTGTCACGTATTGACATTTGTTTCTCATGAATAGTACTCCACATTGGTATACATAGAACAGAAGATATGGGAAGATGTTTAAATTATGAACCCTGATGACTGGTTGGACTAAAAATTCTGCACTTCACTTTCCAAAATTGGTTTTTTATCCTCATTTGTGTTTTTTTCTCTCTGCAAACTAAATCAGGATACTGATATACATGCTCAAACATGCTTGTGGTTGTTTATCACTTTGTGAACCATGTCTGTCTTACAAAGCATAGACCACGTGCATGCTTACTGATGTAGGACAAGGGTTTAATAATTGATAGAAGTTGAAGAATTCCCTATAGAAGAGGGATTAATTGAAAAAGAAAAAGGAAACCCTATAGAAGAGAGTAAATCCCTACAAAGAGGGCTAATATGAAAGAAAACACCAAGGAGAGCTGGAAGAAAGTAGAATGAAACATTACTCAACTTCTAAGTCTGAATACATTGCTATAGGAGGTTTAGATATAGACAATAAGAAACCCTAGTAGTCTCAATCAAATAGAAAACAAGAATCCTAATAAAATATCATCTTTTGTTATAAAACTAATAAAATTTCTTAATTAAATATAAAAAAGCTAAATTACTAATAATTACATAAAAACCCTTCATTCTATACTGGAAGACTTAGATTATTCTTCTCTTATTTCTGTTATTAATTGGGTAGGTTCACTACGGAGATAGCGTAAAGCCTCTTCCAAGACCTCTTTTGCCAAAGGAGGAAAGTGAAGAAGAAGTTGAAAAGGAGAAGAAGGTTGGTATTATGGTTACTCATCTAATTACTCATTTGCTGTCTTTTTGTAGTCTTACTGGCTTCTGTGCACTGCTATCAATATATAGTATCAAGTTGGCCATTAAACAAGACATCTTTGCATTTATTTTCTCCTCCTTTTTCCCATGTTTACTTTCAGGATGAGGAACCTGTTGATCATTTATCAGCAGCAGAACTCCTAAAGAGACATATTAAGCATGCTAAAAAAGTTAGAGCACAGTAAGTTCCTCTTAACTTCTTGTTCCATCTTTGATCTTTGTTGAATTGCTGGATTCTTTTATTGTATGAGGCCGTGGATGCCATTGCTTGAAAAGAAAAATCGTATCTTCCAAAATAAATTGATAGCTTGAGTTGTTTAACACATCGACCAAATAAAGTTGTCTTGATCCGAAGTTCATGAACCAATAATTATGGTTGCTGGTCCTGGTTTTAGTTCCATTTAGGGATAATTACAAAATACCTCCTATAGTTTGATCTGAATTTCATTTTCCTTCTATATTTTTATAAATTACACTCTATATCCTGGATCAAACAAAATGTGTTGTTGAGGATGTAAAATGTTATTGAAAGTGTAAACTACATGAAAGTGTAAACTACAAGATGAAAAGTGTAATTTATAAAGGTATATAGGGAAAGTGAAATTCATATCAAACTATAAGAGGGTTTTTGTAATTATCCCTCCCATTTATATTGCTTAGCAAGGTATATGAAAAGGGATGGGAGAAAAGAACACAAACTTTCTCAACAAAGGCTTAAGTGATCTTTTAGTTGACTGCTCTCTAGGAAGTTTTAATATTCTTTGGTTTACTATAATTAGATTCTCAGAAGTTGGCCAATACCATCCATTGGTTGCCATTTTCTTTAATTGTTTTATCAGCATTCCAACGTTTATGGCGTTTTATATTCCCTAAGATGGATCCTTTTGTATATTACTTCCTCCAAGATGGTTCAGGATTTCCTGATCCTCCAAAGCAAGCAGGTTTTCAGTGTGGTTGCTTAAGCATACTATGCAAATGATGACAAACACTTGCTGTTTTTGCGTTGTAGGTTAAGGGAAGGGCGATTAAAACGAATTGCAAGATACAAAAGTAGGCTTGCTCTCCTCCTCCCTCCACAGGTAGAACAGTTTAGAAACGATACTCCTGCGGAGAACTGACTGACCCACACTGCACAACGAGACATTTTACATATTATTGCACCCTCCCATTGAATCTCAGTAAATACACAACAGTTTTCTCGAGAGAAGGGAAAATTGAAGCGCTCTAGTGGCGGAGAGCGGTGACCCAGATCCCAGCAAAGGCCATATCAAAAGCTTAGAAACGCAATATCGCCTTGGGACAGATAAAAAGACATGAATTTTATTTTTCCTCGGGCTGGAAAGAGTTATCAGAAATGTAATATTTCCCCTGAATGGTTATATTCATTGTTGCCTCATTTCCAATCGATCGTTGTAAATTGCGTTTGGTGGTTTGTTTCATCAAAACAAACATATTCTTCAACTATCTTCCGAGTTTTCTGATGAACTATATTAATATCTCTGTGCCTTTTAGGAAAAAAAAACTTGGAAGAATATTTCAAGCTATGAGATCGTGATTTTGATACGGGATGCTTTACTAAATATAATGGCTTGAGTGTATATTTTGGAAATTTTCTTGTTTTTTTCCTTAATGTTTTGTATTAGCAAACTCTATTCTCCTGAAAACTAAACATACCATGTTGATTATTATTGAGTTCCCTTTGGTCTCGCAGCCATTGACGGACGATGGGCCTCTACAAGCACTCCTACCCCCATGAAAAATTATTGGCTGTGGCCTGGTACGACGGACGATGGGCCTCTACTACAAGCACTCCTACCGCCATGAAAAATTATTGGCTGTGGCCTGGTAACATAAAAGGAGCTGTTAAATTCGCTTGAGGTGATAATCCAAGATATGTTAATAATATGTAGAAGCATATAGGTATGTACTTTTCAACATCAAATCTATGCATGCATGTATCTACTAAGCATTGAAATCCCATACATTGGCCATCATACTACTCTTATATAGCATTGAAATCCCCCAAGAACGTGGCCATTTCACAAAAAAAAATTGATTTTTTAAGATTGTTTTGATGTATTGGAATAAAAAATAAAATTTAAAAAATAAAAATATATATATTATTTTAATATATTTATAAAAAAAACACTTTAAAATATAATCGTTATTATAATACCAATCATCTATTTAATGTCTCAAACACATATCATATATTTTTGCACACAATCATAACGTGTGTTTTTGTATTTAAGCCATGTTTAAAGATGTTTGCACGAGATAATAACACAAATTACAGGGAAGAGGAAAAGATCTCGTGGCCATGAGATTAAGCACTCAAGAATTGACTTGTTGCAATTATTTTTTATGAACATAATTAGTTTTGACAAAATCAACATGATTACATGCAATACATTTAAGAAAGATAAATCAACACGATTCAACCCACATGAATTCAAGTCAATAGCCAAAGTTTTGAATCCTGGGGAGCATTACACATGGTGTATCAAGTATGTTATACTCCATTATTGAAACTAAAAACATTATTTCTCATTTTGGTCCAACCATAATAATCAAATCTCATGGTAATTGGCCCTTTGAATAAATCTAGAAACATCATCGGCTGACCTCTCCCATTATAGTGTTGCAATTATGACCTTAGTAGCTAGGAGTTAATTATGTACATATCGTTTGTTGTCATTACTCCTTTGTCATTTGAAGGATTATGAGTATTTTTCTAATTTGAACGGTCCATTGAATTTTCTTACAACTTGGTCTTGTGGAGTCATAACGAGCTAGCCGGCCAAACTATCATTTGGACTCTTGATATATTTCTTTTTACTAAAAATCTGACTCTCAAGACTCCGTCAGCCATAGAGAAATTAAAAAGAACTAGGCAACTAGATGGCTCAATGGATCGTTGGAAAAATCTGAAGGCACCACTTTTTCCATAGATACTGAGTGTTTTGGCATGGAATCCGATCCATTCATGGTTTAATTACTTGTTTTATCTATGGAATCCAGCCATGGTCTCAAACCATTACCGACGATGCTATTGCATCATCCACTTTAGCTGGTTGGAAGAGTTTCTGCGAGTACTGTTGATTAAAAATCTGCCAGTTTCAAAGGGTTGTATAGCTACTAATTACTGAATATTGTTGAACAACTAGAGTAACTTGGGATTTTTCATGTTTACAAATACTCTCGTGAATCTTTATTTTGTATTTTTGGCTGAAAGGTCATTGAATTTATGGCTTTCTAGATGTTTTATGTGTTCAACCTTTTCTTTTCTATTGAGGTGTTGAAAAAATCCAAGAGTTTTTAAAACCCAAAAAAAAAAAATCAAATCAAGGAAAAAAAAACCTTTACAAAAACACCTGTAAAGGCTTTAATATATATAATTCACACACAAAAAAATCCCTTTAAATCAATGATTTTAAAATTTAATTCCAGTCCAGTTTTAAATTAAATCAGAGAAGAATTAATCTGGAAATCAGATTATTCAATAAAAATACAATTTGTTTATATATATAACCTTGATTAACTGCCAGCCGACTTTAATATAACTTTGATAAATAAGCAAATGGGAATCAAAGTTGGTAAAAAGTCACTAACCCTCACCAAGAGCCATCCTAAAAGGCAGAGCACAAAACGCACCAAAATTCCTACGAGACAATTCCATCAATCTTTTCATCATATATAATAATTATAAACTTATCATAACAATAATCATCATACTTACAATGACTTCACCCAACTACTACCATTAATTAATCTTTTCTTGAAATTGTTTTAGTCTTTAATGACCTATGTTCTTACTTCACGTTAATTACTTTTAAGATAATCATTTTTATTTCGAGTGCAGGGGTTCGCCGGATAAGAATGAGGGGTTTGAAAGGATTCACAGAGTCAAAAAGTATTTTCTTTTTTGCAAATTTCAACGCCTTGCATGTTTTGCCTTTAACATTCCGCATATCATTGCCTTTTGCGTGTCCAACATGGAAGCATTGCGCCATCCCCTGCGGCGGCCTCTGGTGGCACTACCACTCTTCTGTTCCTTCTTAATTTGATTCCTCCTTTAAATAAATAATTAGTCTCTTAGAAATTCTGAAATGTATAGGATAGAAAAGAAATCTTGAACATCCACGAGTGAGCATGGTTTTCACATTTTATGAACATAAAAACATGGAAATTAAAAAAAAAATTGATGCAGCATGCTTCTCTCTCTCTCTTTTAATCAGCAAATGCAAATTAGACTTAGAGAAATTGTTGAATACTTGTTAATTGGTAAGTTTTTATTATTATCGAGTTTCTTTTAAGTCGTGGCAGGTCATGCTCCACTTTATATATTATTTTTTTATATAACTTATTTATTTAATGTAAGATATGATTATTAACCTAGTTACTTATTAAACTCGGAATAAGCTGGTGGGTCATATCAATTGATTCAAGATAAAATTTAATTAATTTTTTTGTTTTTAAAACTTTTATATAAAAAATTATTATTTAAATATTTTTTTTTTTAAAAAAATCAATTTCGGATTGACCCTCCCAAAGCTGAGTTCTGAACTTAAATTTTTTTTTATGGGGGACTTATCTTGATTTTTTACTTATAATGATAGTTGAGTTTAGGCTTTGTTCAAAAAAATTAAGTCCAATTATGGAGGGCTCGATCTTAATTTTTTTAATATTACTTTATATTTTTTAACGTAGAACATGTTGAATAAAAAATAATCAGAAATACCTCCCAGGATATAACAACGGTTACTCATCTTAATCCACTCATGCAACATTTAACACTGAATAGGTATTCGTGTTGGATTTTTTAATATTTATATTTTATTTATTATTTATCAGATAAAAAGTTTATATCTTTATAAATTATTTATTAGATATTAGGTATCCAATGAATATTCACTATCTGCTATTATTTATTAAACAATAAAAATTAAAATAGTTGATATATATATATATATATATATATATGTTTTATGTCAATATTAAGGTATGCATATTTTATATAAAAAATCTAAATATTCTACAAATATATTTATATATATTTCGGGTTAAGTTTAGATAGTTTTCAAGTCAGGTCTGACAATATCTATACCCTACTCATTATCCATTGGATTCAAAAAACACATATTTATTCAAGTCTGGTAAATAATCATCGGGTTCAGATTAAATTTTCTTCCTTATCTATAACAAAGAAACCATATAAAGTTTGTTTTTTTTAATACTAGGAAATTGACAAATATAAATAGAAACACCAAAGAAATTTTTCTAATGAACCGAGTCCGTCAATATATTTCAAAGAATTAGAAAATAATTACAGCAAATACCACTGCAACTGTTAACTCACCGAAAGAATAAGTCCGTTGATATATTTCTAAGAATTAAAAAAGAATTACTACAAATCCCATTACAACTCACTGACAGGATTACATATAGTTATCTTGTCGATGACATGTTAAATAATACTGAGAGAATTACTGATGGTTTGAAGCGGATATTTTTTTCGCCCATGTGGTTCTTCTATAAAGCCACTAGTAAATTTATTAATAATGGACTTATTGGCATATCAGAACTCACTAACAAGTGTTTTTTGACGGACAATTTTTATTCATGATTTTATCGATAAAATAATTATAAACAAAATATTAATATAAATGCTGATATAAATTTCTGTCAATAAAACTATTAAATTTATTAGTTTTTATATAGTGATTGGATAAGCAAGCAAAGATTTACTTTTTAAATTCCAATCTATGCATATTAAAATAGATAAAGCACAAAAATAAAAGCTAATATATCGTAATTTATCTACTCCCAAATATATATATAACCTCAATGACTTTCCAAATCATTTCCAAAAAGAAATTAAATATCAACCTTCTAGTTTTTTGGTTATTTTGTTTTTTTTGAATAAAAGTGCATTGATCAAATTAACTTAGCAGATATTATAAAATAATATAAATTATATTTTAAAATTTTATCTAAAAATTTAAGTTTTTTGGTTGAATTATTTATTTGATATAATTCAAAACTTTAATAACCAAATAGTTACGAGTTCAAATTTTATCATCTTTATTTATTTAATAAAATTAAAATACAAGATAGTATGAAACTATAAATTAGAAAAGCTTTTATTTAAGGAAGTATGATAGAGAATAATATAAAACATATCTTGAAATCTTATTTAAAATTTAAATTTTTTTATTGAATTAATCATTTGAGAGGAGGTAATCTAAAAAAAGAAACTACTGACCTTGAAACAACATCGACTTGGTACAAATTCTAGAATTATTTTTTAACATCCTAGCCAGTTCTTCTCTAATTTTATATCATGTATCACGATGCTAAGATTACTAGATAGGTTTTTTTTTTTTTTTTTGGCATGGGTCAGTCGACAAAAGCTCCTTCACATGGATAGGGCACAAATCAAGTGGTTCTTGGGGAACGTACAAACCCTACATGATGACCAAGTCGTTTTTGTTCATTAAGTTTGTTTCCCACATGATGAGACCAGTCATTAGTGTTTTCCTTCCCTTTCAATTCATCATACT